TTGAGCAAGGGGAGCAGAGCGCCTTCTGTTTTCAGGCACACATCTCAAACTCCTCAAAACGTCACTAACATTTGGCAATCGGGACTTGTAGAGATGATCTCTTTTATTAGACCAACAAGATTTTTGCAACAACAGCAAAAATAAAAATCTTTAATTGCAAGTTTTAATGGTCAATTCTTTCCTTGCAAGCTTTCGGGCACAAGCCCCCTTCATCAGGCATTGGAGAAAAGATTGGAAAAGTTCTCCTGGGTAGGAATGAAAGTTCGTATTTCGTAGGATTTTACGGAGGGGTCAACAGATGGAAAACTCCTCTGGGCAGGCAGATCCTAGCAGGATCCTAGCAAATGACCTTGAAACAAAGGCAGGAGCAGGATCTCGGGTGGTGACAGTTGCTTCCTGCTTGGGAAAATATGAAGATTTCATTTAAAAATTAACCGGCTTGAGACCGCCCTGCACACCACGTCATTACACAATCTACTGAACACGGTCACTTTTTCCCCCTAGATGTAGCGTTTGAGTACTACTGCGCAATTGTGAAAGAGATCAGAAATGTCCTTCTTGGCCCTATATCTCCAAATATCGATGTACTTCGAAACCTACAGAAGTTCTTATACAAAACCCTCCCAGAAAATGCCCACCAGCTGGCTTCAGGGAGGCTGCACATTATCCTCACTCGTGTATCAGACAGACAGAACGTCGTGGTGTCAGACTTCGGGTCAAAGGAGGAGGTCATTCAGGTGAGAGCAGCTGTCTCAGTGCTGTTGTTACACTAAGGGTCACAGAGTCGATGAGCTCAGTGGTAGTAGGTGTATGGTATTTGCCAGTCCCGATCCACAGACAGACACCCTGTGCCTGTTGTAGCTCTTAAAGATAGGGTTCACACTGTTTAGCTCATACTGCACATACGAATGTTTTCAGCCTGAGAAGTAGCCAGGTCAGCTCCTGGCATCAGGCAGGATGGCGGCGGTCGTGGCTTACGATGGATTAACAGAACCCAGCCGAGCACACGGGGAACAGAGCAGTTGCAAGGGGAGCAGCACCTTCAGGAGCAGGAGAGGGGGCATTTCCTGAGCTGTCCCCAATGAGCTCAGACCCCACAGAGAAGATTACAGCCCGAAGGCTTGTCAGCTCGACCTTGCACAGGCAAAACAGAGGCAGTGTGCAGAATTAACTCTTTCATAAATCACACACGCCACTCTCTAAGTGGCGTGAGCAGTGCCCTGGGTGCCAGAGGCTGTGCCTCTAGGCCTAACTGGCACTTCTGCTGCCATCAGAGGTAGGTTTGGGAGCAGTGCTTGGATTTGCATTCACTCCATCTGACATCCTCCTGAAACTCTGGCAGCTGAACTTGCATCAGGATCTATCTTTGTCCAACAAGGGCTGCAACACTCTGTTCAGATGCCGTAGCGGAGCCGGCAGGATTTCTAACCCACGCCACCCTCTGGCCTGGCAGCTGGGCCACTGGGCACCACTACCCCTCTCCATATATTTAGGACCCAGTGGTACTTACATTGGCCTGGCACACGGAACCTGGCATGGCCGGACCTCTGCTCCAAATACCCCAAACAGTATGATCCAGGCGCAGGGAGAACTCCTCATCCCCAGGTTTAAAGAGAGCCCTGCTTCATTATCTCTCTGTGCCTCCTTTCCCCACAGGCAGTGACCTGCAGCTGCTTCATTCCTGTCTATAATGGGTACATCCCTCCCTCTTTCCAGGGTGTGGTGAGTATCCTTGGCTGAGACCTGGGGAACCTCTCACCTGCTGCCAGTGGCTTTTGTGATCAACACAGATAAAAAAAATCAGGCGTCTGACCCTTAAACGCTCCCCGTAGTTCCTCCTCATCCGATTTCCAGCAGAGGCAGGAGCCTGGGAGCACGGGTCAGGATTTTAGTTAATTACTGCCAAGGGGGCTCCCTCCTGCTACCACGGGTCCCTCCATTTCCAAGACCTTTCCCATGGGGATCCAACTCCCACCACACTTGGTGTCCATCTGTCCTTACAGCCTTCCAGGGCAGAATGACATCTGGATGGCAAACTGAATAACCAGGGCACAGCCACGTTTTGTAGAGATGGGAAAAAAATCTTAAAGCAGCCCCTTCCCTTGAGTTGCATGCCCAGATGAAACAGCTGGTTCCCCTTAGGGAGAAAGTAGAAGGAAAGTCCCTCCCTCAGAGACCTTGGTATCTTGGACCCATCTGTTGGACAACAAGTTAGATGGGAGGGGAACATGGGGGAGATGCAACAGGGAAGGAAAGAAGACTTGCAGAGCTGCACAAGCACCTCACTGCTTGCTGGAGCTTAGTTGGCTACCCGAGATTGAGAGGCCTACCCGAGGATGGGAGTCCTAAGGCCAGAGGGGAGCAAGATGAGGCAGTGGCTGTCTGGAATGCACAACGGCATTGGTCTCCAGCAAAACCTGAAGAAAATGCAATTGTCAGAGGTGCTCGCCAATGACTGAGAAAAGCTGGGTATTTTGGCAGAGCAAAAACAGCAGAGCAAAATTGCCAATGAAAGTTTGTAGAGCAGCTTCAAACAGAGGCCTGGCTTGTTCTGAGAGCCAGAGAGAGACAGGGAGAGAGACAAAACTAGAGAAAGGGGCACATATCCATGGCCAAGTAGTGAGGGCACTCACTTGAGTGGGGTAACTTGTATTCCCAACCCTACAGAAGATCCCTCAGTGCTAGAAGCTGACTCTCAGTGTGGGAATGGGGGGCATTATAAAGACCCAGGCCTACTTTGGACCCATGCACAAACATGATCCACTCACTGCTTCACACAGATCTGTGAGCTGTTACCTAACGCAAATATTGTGTCTGTTTTTTTCTAGCATTATATTGACGGAAGCTTCAGTAGCCCAGAGCCTTCGTTCTACACAAAGACCATGATTATAGTGTCGGCTCTTGCGTTGGACAATGACATCTGCCCAAGGGATAAGCCAGGCAATTTCTTCAGTTTTTACAGTTTTCAGCAGCAATTTCAGATACAACTAGAAAACTTCCACAGGGTATTCCGTTTTTTTTTTCCACCCGGCCATCTGGTGAGTAGCCAGCAGGAGTCAATGCAACCTCAAACTTACCTTCTGCTGTGTGGGTACAACAAGCATTGTTTACAAGGCTGACATCTTTTCTCGGTAGGCGGTGCATGAGTTCTTTTTACAAGGGTATCATGATGCCGGCTTCTACTTGGAAAGAAACAGTAAGTACTGTGCTGAGTGGGAACAGAGAAGAAATGATATTCCCTGAGGGAGGATGGACAGGAAGTTTAGTTCATAAAAGTCTCTGCATCTTACAACTGACTTGGAGCCAAAACTGCATAAGTTGCACACCGCTAGTCAGAACTGCTGCCAACTCTCACCTCTAGTACTCAACCATGACCATCACTGATCCTATTACATGACATTAAGATGCCATTATGGCCCTTCCCTTCCCCATCTCAAAGTAGTCCATGCAACTCCAGAAATTCTCTTGCATTAACACTGGTTATTACACAGCTCTAAGTATTTGTGAGAATTAAATCTTTCCCTTTTCTTTTCCAAAAGGAGAGTGCAGTATAGATTATCCTGCCAAGAGCGTGACACTCCCATTAGCCAGTGAGTCCTGTAAGAAAGGCTTGTCCCAGCCTCGTGGAGGTCTTGAAACCAGAACCCATCAACAAGGATCCTCACTTCCACTGATGCAGCTTACAAGGACCTCACCAGACAGCATGGAGTGATGAATGGGGTGGAGAATGGAAAAGAGGATAAAATGCAGCAGCTGCCCCTATGCTGGGACCAAGGTAGAGAATAATCTACATTCATAGATTCATAGATAGATTCATAGATTAAGGGTCGGAAGGGACCTAGTAGATCTTCTAGCCCGACCCCCCGCCAGGGCGGGAGAACAACAAAAACCCCAAAAAGAGAAATGGGACTCAAACGAGTCCAGCTAGGTGGGCATCCAGCCTCTTCTTAAAGACCCCCAGGGTAGGGGCCAGCACCACTTCCCTTGGAAGTTGGTTCCAGCTCCTAGCCGCCCTAACGGTGAAGTAGTTTTTGCGGATGTTCAATCTATACCTCCTCTCCAACAGCTTGTGCCCATTTCTCCTTGTTATGCCAGCGGGCGCTAGGGGAAACAGCGTCTCCCCCAAACCCCTCTGGTCCCCCCTAGTGAGTCTATAGACAGTCACCAGGTCCCCCCTTAGCCTTCTCTTGTGGAGGCTGAATAGGTTCAGGTCCCGCAGTCTCTCACTGTAGAGTCTGCCCTGTTGTCCCTGGATCATGCGGGTGGCCCTCCTCTGGACCCTCTCCATATTGTCCACATCCCTCTTGAAATGGGGCGCACAGAACTGGACACAATACTCCAGCTGTGGCCTGACCAGTGTCGCATAGAGGGGGAGGATCACCTCCTTGGCTCTACTCGAGATGCACCTGTGGATGCACGACAAGGTCCGGTTAGCCTTGCCAACCATGACCTCGCATTGTCGGCCCATGTTCATCTTGGAGTCAATAATGACTCCAAGATCCCTTTCTGCCTCCGTGCTCTCGAGTAAGGAGTTCCCCATTGTATAAGTGTGCCGCTGGTTCCTACTGCCCAAGTGCAGCACCCTGCACTTGTCCGTGTTAAAACGCGGACAAAAAAAACATTGTTTTTTTTCCTCTAGTTATTGCTAGTGAAGTAACAGTGACATTAGGATCCACATGAGCACAAGTCCCTGTGAAGGTCAGGGTCAATATGCTCCCAAATTCATTAGGGCAGCCTTGGAAATATTCTCTTGGGGTCATTGCCTCTTTATACTTGATTTTCCTGATCTAGTATGTGCTTGAAGCCAAAGACCCCTATTACACACTTTGTGCTTGAAAGGAAACAATGGGGTCAACATTGCTTTCCAGACAATATTCTTTTGCTTTCTAGCCAAAAGGACAATCAATTTTTAAATTGCTCTAGCTTATCAAGATAGAGATATTAATTTTCACTGGGGCTTAGCAGATACAATTTTTTCCTGATTTTTCATAACTGCTAGAGAACACACACTTCTAATGTTAATGCTCTTTCCACTCACAAGCCCTCAGACCTCTATCAGCTTACTTCATCCCTCTGCATTTCCAGCCTTGCCTGAACATGAATGTACACCATTTTAGTTAGATCAGGCTGCATTTGGTATGGACACTTCTCTCATTTGACACATAGCTTATCAGTGCTTATATCCAACCTGTTCTTAATCGATTTAAATGAAACCAACGTGAGCCATGTTGTAACCAACTTTTTCTACCTCTCCATCATCTTGCACAAAATAATTGTAGTCCCAAAATAAAACGTTGGTGCATCAGCCATTACAGCATTTTAGATTTCAGATTTTAATGTTTATTCCAATCTCCTTTTTGCCGCAGAGCACAATCAAATAAAAAATGTAGGGGTAACTGGGCCTTTTATTTTTAGCATCTCTTTCAGTCTGCGCATGCACCTTCCTTTGTTCCCACTGCCGGGGAAGTAGAATTGAGCCCGAGGGAGGATTGTGGTACTTACTGGTTAAAAGAATATGCCACTAATATTCACAAATGGCAATAGGATTTGACACTTCAGGACCAAAGAGTTTCCACATTGGGCCCCTGGTGTCACCTTCTCCTTTTATATTCAATTATTTGGGGAACCTGTTCAGCCTTGTATTTGTGTGGGGCCAGGGATGAGGCTGAAGTGTGGATTCTTCCTACATCCACTTTGCAATGCTTTGCTGAATCTAGCCATCATGGCCTAAAGCCCCAGACAAGGGTCGTGGCTGCTGAGCCCTGACCCTGACCCTGATGTAGGTTATCTAAAGCACCTCAGGACTTTAGGAGCAAAGTGGAGTGAAATGAAGGATGTGTCAAGAATTGGACCTTTTCTTTTAAGCATGTCTAACTCCTTTTTTTCTACCCTGCAGAATGAAAGACAAGACAACACTGCTGGCTTCTCCCAATGTATAGTTTCAAAGGCAATGGACCCAGTCAAGAGCCAGGTGACACACAAAAATGGATCTTCCCTGATGACACCTTCCTTCTTACACAAATGGGGAAGAATCTGTTACAACAAACCCAAAGCCTGCACATGCCTGTGTCAGACTTGCATCATTTCTGATGCTCCACCCTCCCCAAAGAGGGAGGCTGACTGCCCAGGTCCCCCAAAAGAGGCCTGGCTCTGCATTCTCCTGGTGGTTCATGCCACAACTCTAGCACTGCATCCATGCCTTGGAAATGAAAAGTCAAAGCCTGGCTCTTCTCTCTTTGCCACCTTTGATGCAGGTGCAGTGAAGCTGAGGGTTGCTCCCCAGTACAAGTAGCACAGGGAATGGGAAGGCAGAGGGCAGCACCTGCTGTCTCGCTGACCAGGGCAGGTGTATCCAGGTGAGCACACCTGCCCTGCTGCTGACCATATCTCGGGATACATCCCAGCTCAGCTGATCTCCTTCATTAGGTGAAACAAACATCACCTGTTGTCCCACCCATTGATCTTGTGGGACAATGGGCAAAGTGTTCCCCACTTCCAGAGACACAACTTCTCAATCTCCAGGATGCTTCTTTGTAAGCAGGGAACTCCAACTTTCCCCGCTTCTAGACATACCCCAGAGATCCCTGAGGCACATTTCTGGAAGCAGGGAAAGCTGAGCAGGTGCTCCCAAGGCTTGAGGCACCTGATCCTGTATGGGAATTCCAGGGTATGCAGGATTGAACCCCCCATGCCCTGAGAGCTCCTGGGGCAGTTGGAGAGTGTGGGTAGCTCCAGCAAATAGACATCAGCAATAAAGTGGCACAAATGATTACTACCTTTTGTCAGAGCCACACATGATGGAAACAATCATTGCTTTTCATCACCATTGTGACACCATAAACATTTTTATCATGGCACAAAGCAAAAACAAATAGGCATTCATACCCATTGTCATGCCACCATAGATGGAGTCACAACAAAGCAGTGAGGAGGAGGAGGACCACCTCACCTTTATCTATTGAGAGTTTTTCAGCAACTCAAGTAGGATGGAATTGAATAGATGCTTTAATTCCCTTTGATGCCTATTAAGTAGAATAGAATCTGGCTTTTGATGTACATATTATGAACCCAGGCATCTGGTACATGACAGCAGAGAAACCACAGTGGACGGGAATGGGAGAGACACTTTGTTATTCAAATGTTCATTTGCATGGAAGGGAAAGTCCTGACTGCACAGAGCAGAGTATGTCATCCCATGAAGAACAAAACCCCACTGTGTACAAAGCAAAGCAAATAACCCCATCACCTTGCAGCACATGATCCTCCTTCCTGGTCCTATAGTAATTCACTTGATACCATCTCATCCTGCATCATATTTAACATAGATTGCTAGCTTAGGAAAATACCCTGTAGGCTCTGAGTCCTGTTCAAATAAAAAAAACCCAAGGGCTAGTAATCAGTCATAGCAAGACTTGGTTGTACCTAAACTACCACAATAACCTTCTGATCCTGAAATAGCCTGAAATGAAATAACGATCATATTTGCTTTTATAATGTGCCTTTCATCTGCAGAGCTCAAAGACAAGGTTTTCATCCAGAGATCTCAAAACACTTTACAGAAGAAGCCTGTACCATTATTTCCATTTCCCAGAGGGAGGAACTGAAACATAGAGCAGTGACTTGCCCACGGTCATGCAGCAAACTAGTACCAGAGCCAGAAATGAACCCCACTCTCCTGAGTCTCAGATTATTGCTCTGTGCCTTTAGAAATAACCATGGAAGCCCAAAATGATCATAAAGGCCAGGTCCACATGAGCAGGAGCATGCATTTGCAACAGCACAAATAGCAGCAGCACAAATTTGTGCTGCTACTTTGGGCTGCAGTGCCCACCCCTGCCCATGCAGTTTGCAGCAAGATACATTGTTCCACTGCTCCATGTGCTGCCTGGAGGTGGGGAGCTGGTTGGGGCACAGGGTGCCTTAGTGCAGGGCTAGCCCCCGCATTGAGGCAGTCTGGGCATTTATAAACATGCTCAGAGAGGCAGGGGGGCACTTTAATTAGTGAGCTGCGCTAATTAAAAGTGCCCAAGTGTCACGTGTATCAGCATCCCCACACCAAAAAAAGGTGGTGGGGCACTTTGAACCAAAGCTCATTGAACAGGCTTTAGTTTAAAGCGCCCCGCCACCATTTTTCGGCATGGGGATGCTGATACACATGACTCCAGAGCAGGGGTGGGCAAAATACGACCTGGGGGCCGGATGTGGCCCTCCAGGCCATTCTATCCGGCCTGCAGGGCCCCTAAAAAATTTAGAAAATGAATATTAATCTGTCCTGGGATGCCTGTCATGCAGTCCTCGATGGCTTGCTGAAACTCAGTAAGCAGCCCTCTGCCCAAAATAATTGCTCGCCCCTGCTCCAGAGACTGCTGGAGTGCGTTAACTTCCACGCTCTAGCAGACTCGATTAATCGAGATTAATCGAGTCTGCTCTGACAGGCTGGATTTACAGCATGTTGGAGCAGCCTTGCTGCATGTCTGTAGGAACCCCTGTGCCCCAGCCAGCCAGGGAGTGGCACATGGAGACAGGGGAGCAGGCAGCCAAGGGGTCCATCTCTGTATGCTGTGGAGTCCCAGTGCTGGGGCACCCTGTACCCCTAGCCAGCCACTCCCCGGCTAGCTGGGGGAGCAGGGTGTCACAAGACAGGGGAACAAGCAGCCTTGGGCTAGTTGCTCCACTGCAAAGCCCCCATACTGAAGCACATGGAGCCCCCACACTGAGGCATGCTACAACCCAGCCAGCCATGGAGCAGCTGACTGGGGCGGTGTGCTTCGAGACAAGGGAACAGCTAGCGCAGGGCTGGCTGCTCCCCCATCTCCACATGCCTCAGAGCCACATGCAGTCAGAGCCAGAGGGGCAGCTAGTCCAGGACTGCCTGCTCCCTCATCTCAAGGCACCCTGTGCCCCAGTGTTTGTTTGTGTTTGTCCCAGGGCACGCCACTTTGGCATAGTTTGCACCACTTTTTTAATCAGGATTTTCTTTTCTTTTTTTGCTACCAAGAAATTGCAGTAGCAAATTTTGCCCTGGTGCTGCAAATTAACAGCATGGCACCCAGATTAAAGTGAAACTCATGCAATTTGTGGTGCTGGAAAGAGGTTTGTGGCACCACAAACTGCACGCACCTGCATGTCTGGATCCAGCCCAGGAAGCTAGGGCACTAAGCAAACTCAATGAGAAACATAAGTGTTAGTAGACCCATAGACTGTAATGCCAGAAGGGACCTTGGAAGATCATCGGGTCCAGCCCCTTGCACCAAGCAGGAAAGATAACTGAAGGTCAGGTGACCCCAGCAAGGTTTGACTGTCTAGTCTCCTCTTGAAGATTTCCAGGGTAGATGATTGCACCACCTCTGGAGGGAGCTTATTCCACAGTCTGGACACCCTAACTGTGAAAAAGCTTTTCCTAATGTTGAGTCTGAATCGATATTCCGGAGTTCGTAGCCATTACTCCTAGTTTTCCCCTCGGGTGCCCTGGGGAACAGCTGCGCACCGAGCCCCTGATGTACTCCCCTAGCGTAACGGTAAACTGCTACCAGGCCCCCTCTCAGCCTTCTTTTTTTCAGGCTGAAGAGTCCCAGATCCTTCAGCCTTTCCTTGTATGCCTTGCTGTGTAAGACTCTGCTCATACAGGTGGCTCTTCTTTGGACTCTCTCAAGCTTGTCCATGTCCTTGTTAAAGTGTGGTGCCCAGAACTAGATGCAGTACTCCAGCTGCAGTCTCACCAGTGCTGAGTAGAGTGGAAGAATCACCTCCTTGGTTTTGCTGGAGATGCATCGACTGATGCACGTCAGACTATTATTTACCCTACTGGCTACAGCATCGCACTGCCGGCTCATAGTCATACTGTGTTAGGCAGAGAGAAAATCCTACCTTCCCTAGTCAGACCTTATCTAGGAAAAAGGCTACTGGAACTACTCATGAAATAAGGTATCAAGGAAGAGGGCAAAGATGTCAGAATCTGGCCCATCATCCTAATTAAGGAAATCCTCCTATCCCCATCAGTGGGCACTTTGAGTGAGGACCAGGGGAGCAATGGTGTCCCTGCCACCATCCCTGTGTAAGTGCAGAGTTACCCTACACCCGGAGCAAACGGGGAAGCAGACTACAACTTAATTGATCCCTTTTCCCACTCCCCAGCCTGAAATCCCCTTTCCTCTATAATTTGCATGATGAAATATTCCCTATATCAGCCCAGTATCATGTGCAGCATGTAACTCCTACCTCCCTATCACATTCCCTGGCTACTTCGAACCTACTGTAGTATTATCTGTGCATAAAGAGAATTTGAAGGCACAAACATGCACATGTGTGTGACTTGTTTGCATCTGAAAAGCTTTGCCAGTATTGCTGTACCTATTAAGCTATATACCCCCCTAGTGGAGAGAGAGTTTATACCAGCGAAATATTTGTTTTCATATAACCTACTGTTCTTATTATAGGTTGATCCTGCATACAAGTCAACTGTCATCTTTATGGTTCTTTAAGAAGGAATAAATGGCCTATTTATAAATAGAACAATATGATAGTTTTAAACAGTATAAGATATACCAGTGAACCCTTTTTGCTCTTGTAACTGCACTTACACTGAGGTTTCTGTTGATACACAAGTGTGATTTTTCTCTTTTTTTGACACTCACAACTGTCAACATTTTTATATATAGATGAAGTCATATGTGGACTCTATTTTCCTGAATGAGAATCACAAGAATTAAAGGAAAGGTATCTGTATCTCCAGTAATCTTTAATCAATCGCGGTTTCTTTCCATGGAGTTTATACTAGGGATGAATGTGGGCTTGCGTGGGGAATTTCTTTATTATTTTTATGAAAAGCATGCATGATTCAGTTTGTCCTGATGGGACTTAAGGAGTTAAATTCTTTGGAACGGGAGAATAAGAGGTCAGTGTTAGGCATCAGGTGCTGCCATCAGGTCAACCATCTCTTTCCAATAAACATCCTTCTGCTGAGAAGGAAGGAAGCTATAAACACAGAATAGCACCACAGGTACTAGCATTCATCTGCTTGCCTGCCTGATAAGCCTGCTTTGCATGTAATACAGAAGATATTGCAGACGATACAGTAGCTGTATTAAAGCACAATTCATTTGACCTGTAATTTAATTTACATCCCCTTCCTTTGCCCCTTTCCATTGCTGACAGTGAGAATATGCCTGAATGGATGCTCTCTGAGTCACTCAGAAGGTGTTGGAAACTCACAGCAGCAAATGTGGGAATACACATCCCTCACATAATCATCTTGACTGCTAATTGTCAGAGAATGGCCCCGGGATATGAGGTTTATGGCCTTTTCCAAAAGTTTGTCATTAATTATGATAAACAGAAGATATACCAGTGGGACTGGAGGCCAATTCAATTAAACTTCCTAATCGAGGAGAGAACTTAAGGACCTGTGCTTAAAGTTAAATATGTGCTTAAGATCTTTTCAAAACTAGGGCTTTTGGACCATACAGCAAGTAAAATAAATACCGGTAATACCCCTGGGTTAAACTGGGTCCTAAAACTGAGCTATATAATACATAGAGATGTGGTTAATATAGAACAGAATTAGGTAATATTTGTATTAGACACTGCACATACATTGAATATATTATACACTAGCTATTTATCCTATAGATATTACATAGCTACACACATGTTATACATTTTGTCCAAAGCTTTTTAATCCATTATTCACAAAATTATACAAAAAACAGAAGTACAACTGTTCCAGATATTCCCTCCCTCCCCACCACACACACACATGCACACACACCAGCAGCATATTTGTGTCCTTCACAGAGGCAGTGCTGAGTTTGAAGATACCACAGGCATCAGCAGTGGTTCAGAAAGTGCCCTCACAGGTAATAACGCTCAGTCTGGACCTTCACAGCTGTTGACTCTGAACAGTTCCCTGTCCTGTTGAGACAGAAGTAAAACACCAGTGAGGATCCCATCCATATCTGAGTGTGTACCACATCATGGATAAGCACATGCCCTGGTGTATTCTGAAGCAGGTATCAGAATTGCTGGAAACCCTACTGGCCCAAGCTAATTTATAAGTCCTGGGGGTTACAAGGAAATCTATCCTAGAGCAGGGGTGGGCAAAATGCAGCCCGCAGGCCGTATGTGGCCCACCAAACCATTCTATCCAGCCCGCGGGGCCCCTAAAAAATTTAGAAAATTAATATTTTTCTGCCCCTGGCTGCCTGTCATGCAGCCCTTGGTGGCTTGCCAAAACTCAGTAGCTGGCCTTCTGCCCAAAATAACTGCCTGCCCCTGTCCCAGAGTCAAGATTATCCCATCACTACATCCAGGAGGGTTTCTGCTTTCTGCAGCAGTTCAGAAACAGGACGCTACATTAGATGACCTAATCCAGCCTGACAGATCAAGACCATCATTTTCCCTCATCACACTACTACGGAAACCAAGCTCTGCCCTGAGAAGATCTACAGGGGCCAGATATAGAGAGAACCCACCACACACCTGCTGCTGAAATGTTTCATAGCTGTTTCTGTAACCTCACTGCTCCAAATGGCTTCCCCTGGCTTCTCAGGAGGACATGATGATTCACTAGCCCTGCCTCTACTCTTTACTCCTTAAAACTCTTTAGGTGCTAGCTGATGGCAACCACTAAAAAACAGAAATCACACCCTATACATCTGCTCCCAGAATCCTGTGCCCCGCACAGTGCAACGCACTGCTTCTGCTTTCCACCTCCTGCCAGCAGCCAGGAGCAGGTTTTACTCTATTAAAGCCACAGTGGCCCAGTGATGGGCTTAGTTTTTTTGCTGCTTTAAACTTCCAGCCTCCCATCTCAGCCCAGTTTGCCAAAGCCAAGAAGTAAAAATGTCCCACATTCAGGCTATTTTTGCTATATAACTGACATTACATTCAGCATAGTAGTGCATAAAAATAGACTAGTATTCCTCTAAATAGTTTGCAGCTTCTCTTGTAGTACCCACAAAGTTCTATATTTACAAGTTGCCAGAAAACCAAAGTTGCAGTGTGTGTTGCAGGGCCTCACATGCTTATATATAATTATAAATGCAGTTAGCTGGGACATAACAGTGCCCGCGTGATCTCTTCATATTGCTGCTGTTTACAAAGCAGAGACACAAGAGTCATACACACACAAACCAGATACCCCCTTGCCAATGCATTTTGCTGTGTAAATAAAACCCAAAAGCTCATGACTCAGTGTGTCAATAATCAGAAGGATAATATCCATATGAATCAAGTGGTTTATGAGAAATTAATCTGTGTGTATCTCCTTCACAGTCATCTTTAATGGCTAGTTTGTCCAGCTGTGATGCCTTTTATAGGCCTAATACTACACAGCCATGAATGCTTAATACATAAAGACTGTTTAGAAAATAAAAAGGTTTGTCAAGAATGAATTTTTTATGGAGAAAAAACCCATATGGATAAAAAATATTCAGGTTTTAACATAAAAACCAAAAATCTTTGTGGTGCTGAAAACTGACAGCTTTTTCATTTTCTGATAAACCTCAACATTTTGGCTCAAAAGGCTTGAAGGAAAAAAACACAAATATTTTTATGCAGAAAAAATATTAAGAGCTATAGATATCGGCCACTGATTGGACTGAATGATACCAGTGTGTCAGAGCTTTTATGGGATGGGGGTACGAAATAAGAGAAAGAGAGGGAAGGAAATGATAGCCTTAGGCTTCAGAAACTACAAGAAGAATCAGGAAATCATAATTCAGTTCCAATCTCTAGGAAAAGTCTATGTTTTACTATGTGCCTGCACAGAATTGTAAAAAGGCAGGGCTGGAAAGGACCTCTGATGGCCATCTAGTCCAGCCCCAGCCTGAGGCAGGGTCATCCCTATCCAAACCATCCCTTACAAATCCTTGTCTAACCTATTTCTAAAACTATACAATCAACCTGGTCACACAACTACTAGGCATAGCACACTAACCTGCCACAGGTAAAGCAAGGGGACAATGATGGTCAGCATTCTGCTGCTGCAAGGGCTGTTAAACCCCCATCACTTCATACAGTAGGTCCCTGATCTCAGCTGGAGCAATAGGTGTGACAGTAGCATACACCCTGGTGTAACTAGATGCTCAGCCAGCATCAATTGGTGTATATGGAAACTCCTCCAGTTTACATGACCTGAGGTATCTGTCTAGATGTGCTGTCACCACAGACTTGTTTCTCCTCCCTTACCTTGAGATTCCTGTTGTAGGAAAACTGTGCAAAAGAGTCCTGAAGGTACTGGTTTCCAAAGCCCATGATCCTGTTCACTGTATGGTTACAGATGCCTGCTACCTTGGCAGTCAGGTGCACAGCAAATGCAAACTGAACTTCTTCAGGATGTCTATCAGGCACACTGGCTGTCACTTCATTGTTGACGTAGACATCAGCTAAGTGCTTGAAGGAGCTATAGGAGATGTTTCTGAAGAATGTACTGAGTCCGACATCTTCTCTTATCTGTGTAAGAAGTAAAACAGTAAGACACATATTCAGCCACTCTGTACATAACCATCAACCTCAGCAATGCACTCACGCAAGAAAACTCTCTATCCATCTCTGTCCATTTCCAAGACAAAATCTCCCTTATCTCTCTGCCTGGAATTCACCTCTGTCAACCCAAGGCAAATGAACCACTTACAAGCTGTTAAGTCCAGAGTACTGCACAAAAGTAAATTCTGCTAGATTTCCTTTGGACTTAACAAACATTTTGACTCTACCATGTCATCCAAGTTCTTATCTGAAACCCACTGAAATCAACAGTCATCTTTTCACTAGCTTCATTGGCTTGTGGATTTGCCTTCCACACAAGAAAAAGCTTTGAGAACTTTGAAAGATACTGATGTAACATGGCTTAAAAACCTAAGACTTTCAGTGACCTGAGCCTTCATCGTCATGTGCAGTAGGTCACTCAGATCTGGGAAAAAGATTGATGGGCCACAGGTTCAGAGAGCAGGAAAGGAGTGAGAGCAGAGACCTTAACGCAAGTCTCAGTTTTTGTGGCACCTGTGCACTATGTCAACCGGTGCGGCCACCTTCAGAGTTTGGTTAAAACAATCTATATGCTACCAGCCAACCACTGGAAGAAAGCCACATCCTCACCTTCTTATCCCAGTCATCTCCAGCACTCTCAAGGAAGGAAACAATTCTTCTTATGGCTTCCTCTGCAAAAAGATAAATGGAATTACTTCCAGAATTTCTAGCAGCCTCTTCTTCAAATCCAAGCCTTTCTGCCTTAGCAATTTGAAGCTTCAAGTTCCACATGTATCAGAAAAAAAGGGGTGTCTCTCTGATGTCCCACAGCCAAGTGGCTAGGGTGCTTACTTGAGAAGCTGGAGGCCTTGCCTTCTAGCCCTCCCAGGAAGGCTGAACCAGGACATTTCTCACTTCCCAGCATAGCTCTTAAATCACCGCACTGCAGGCTCAGTGCCACAAGCTCAGTGCTCAGATTAGGATGGGTAACTTTATCACTGCTGTCCCATGGCATGGGAAACTAGTGCTAAAACAGTGAGGCTTTGTGTCCTTCTCTGCTTGTAATGTCTTTGAGATATTCCCCACAAAGTACCAGGTCTGTCAGCTCAGAAGCAGTAGCATGCTCACAGATACCTACAGGTGTTGTAAGCACTACCTCGGACAAAAAGCCACACAGTGGGCGCATCTAGACAAGACACTGACTGTGCAGCAGCCGAAAAATACTTCACTGTAGCACACCATAGCACGGACAGTGCCAATGTGCTTCTGTGTAGTATTATCAGGCTATCGTGCAGTAGAATCACCTAAAAGACATTCGCCAGTGTTATTTAGTACTTGCTAATGTAAGTACTAAATAAAAGCACAGTAACGACTGTGCAGTAGTGTCTTGTGTAGATGCACCCAATGAGTACCTCTACCAACCAATACAAAGATTGGCTATCCTACCCACCCATGCCAGCAAAATAGCTGGAATCTGGTGCTACGCTAGCTGGCACCACGTCCAAAAGGGACCTAGGGGTCATAACTGACCATAAAATGAATATGAGCCACCAGTGTGGACAAGCCTCACAAGGCCCCTTCCAGCCCTAAACTTCTGTGAATCTGTGAATCAGTAACAGCAGCAGTGAGGATGTCTTTAGCACTGTCTTTAGCATGCACTAGCTATTGAAATATGAACCTCCCAAGAGCATGTAACATTAATAAAGCCCAAACCAATTCACTGTGGCATTCTGTGCCCTTTGGTGATGATTTGGCCATGTACTGAGGTTGAACCTTTCTGCAGCCTCTGCCAGCAGAGCTCTAGCAATAGAAGCTCCTGCTTTTACATCTACAGGTCCCAGAGTCATTCCCTAATGTTGACAATCTACCCATGTTATACCTATGGCATGAACAAATGATCCCATATCCCGGTATAATTCACATTGGGTTTCTATACTGACATATGCTCTAGGATCTGGGACAGAGAGGGGTAGTTATCCCAGTGTAGCTTACACAGTAATAACAACTATTAAAACACCTTGCCACAGAGGGTCAGGGAAAGAGGTGGTGTTTAGCTTGCCTTTAGGAAATTGCTACGCCAATGCAACACAGACAGGCATAATCCAAAGCGGTGTAAATTGTACTAGTAGGTTCTTATCCTCGATTCCGAGGGACAATTCTACAGCAGGCCAAACAAAGTTTTCCCAGTTTAGAGGTATGCATTATCTGTCTGCTACTTTTTTTTTTTAAACACAATTGTGACATTAAATCAGAGGAAAGCAATTATTTTGGGCAGAGGGCCACTTAATGAGTTTTGGCAAGCCATCAAGGGCCACATGACAGGCAGCCAGGGACAGATAAATATTCATTTTCTAATTTTTTTTTAGGGGCCCCGCAGGCTGGATAGAATGGCCTGGTGGGCCACATCCGGCCCATGGGCCACATTTTGCCCACCTCTGCATTAATTGTACTACTGTGTGTCATTTGTCCATGCCTTTAATTTCATTTAAATCCTTAAAATAGGCCATGGCAGGGACTATGTGGTACACAGGCTGTGTGCTTTCTCCACATGGATAATCTCAACCACTGAGTTCTCCATGCGTGGATCAAGAGTGACCTGTTAATGTAAGTATTGCCAAATCGGATGATACTCACCGGCTTCATTAGCGCTAACAGGTTTTGGTGGCTCGTGGTAACTGTGTCCTTTCTTCCCCTTGGATTCATTGCTCTGGATGATCATTTCTATCTCCTCAGAAACCTGTGCACAGTACTGATCATGTTGTTCTGTGTCTGAAAAAAGGAAGATAGGTTCATAATCTGTGTGATCCAGTTGATTAAAAAGGAAACTTCACATGCTCCTTAATGCCAGATTTCCAGCCAGTGTTTGCACTGTGCTTATACCCACCCTGAATTAGTATGAGGTAATAACAAACATTACACTGTGCTTCTCAAACTGTGGTTACTGCTAGAGAAACAGCCCTAGACAGATATACGTCCATGGAGCCTTCCCAAATTGTACTGAAACTTTACCAAATCCTTCACAAAACCATCTTGCTAGTCTTTAAGTAGAACAAGTCACAACCAGGAGAAAAACAGTTAACTTACGTGCCTGAAACTAATAGCTAATCTATTGGAGAAGTTTTACAGGTAAAACTCTGTAGGCTGGGGGCGTGGTTTTCAGTGCTATACCAGGAAATAGCTGGTTGCAATGATACAGGTTAGAAAAGAGCCTGAAACCAGCATTGCTTATTTCCAGTTCTAGACCAGTTAAACTATTCCCACAAAAGTAACTTCATCTAGATGAGGCACAGACCTTTGAAAGTGAATGGGGGTGAAGCCAAATCTTATCCCAACTTTTACTAAAATGAGAATGTTGGTCAGGGTGTGATTCTTTGTGACACTTCTATGCTGGCACAAAGCCTTTGTGTAGATGCAGATCACCCTATGGAACGAGTCCTTTAGCAAAGACAGAATATCCATTCAGGAAACTGGTATATAGTATGTTAAAAAAAAGACTACACCAATACTTCTGATGTGGCTAAGTCAGCTAGAAGCATGAAAAAGTCACACCTTCTAGCCAACATAGCTAGGTCAGCCATACCCCGGCTATGGGATACCTTTGTCAATTTAGCTTATGTCCTTCAGCGATGTGGGGCAGATACACACCTAGAAAAATGCTTTCCTGCTGGCTCCCTTTTCACTAGGCTGGCATTCACCAGCTGATATAGCTAGGCTGGCATAGGATGTTGGGACAGGCTCTGTAATGTAGGCACAGACCCTTGAAAGCCCTAAATTATGGCTCTAATGTGGGGGTTGCCAAAAAAAGCTATACCACTACACCGGCTTTCCCAGCAAATCCTTTCTAGTGTGGACAAGGCTTCAGGCCTCTATAACCCCATTGTAAATTCTGCCTCTAGCCACATCATTCCTCCCCAGGGAACACATGAGTACCTCATCACACAAATATTATATGTGCTTACCTGGCACGGATAGCTTCTGACTGTTCTCCAGTGAAAGAAGGTTGGACTTCTTTGCTTTAGCTCCTGCTTCCAACCCTTCCCCCTTTTCCTCCTCACTGATGTGTTTCTTAAAGGAGAAAGCTTTCCTGAAGCTGGTTCTTATTTTATTGGCCTTACGAGACTGCGTTGATGAACTCAAGTCTGTTCTGGATCTCTTAACCTCTTCAGCTTCCAAGGGCACCTGCTGCTTGTCAGCATCTTTATCCTTTTTCTTCCTATATGATTTCTCTCTGTGCTCATCTGTGTTTCTCCGGAAGAGGAAATTCAGAAAAGTCTTGATCCCCGAACACTGACTTTTCCCCTCAGGCACACTCTTTGAGCTTTTCCCCTTTGGCTTCTGTTCATCCTCTGTAGTGCTCCCACAAGCTACCAGCTTGTTCTTCTTGCTGCCAGCATCTTCTGGCTGTTGTGCCTTGGCTTTGTCTGCCTGGCTTTTCCTCCGAATGCCTCTGAAGCTTGAGTACCTGCAGAAGTCACTCGCTGACCTTTGGAGCTGGGCCGTCTTCTTTACTTGTCCTCCACTGCCTTCCTGCAGTCTTTCCTGAGCAGTGAAGGAGTCCTCGCAGTTGCTCAGGGTGCGTTTGACATACAGTTCCAACACTCTCTTTGCATCCTGTCTGTCCAGAGACAGGATCTTCCTCCTGGGGTTTCTCTCTGTTTCCAGCGGACCCCTCCAGGCTTCCATGGCTTGGATACTACATAAAGGGGACAAAAAGGATATTTTAAGCAACCCACACAAATGGATAAAGACTCTGTGGAACAGATTTTGCACTTGTCTGAATCAGCAGGGCTCCACTAAAGTCCAGCTGACACTGATCCTCGGAGACTATTTCTGCCCTTGGAAAATGATCAACCATCTTCAGTATTATTACTCAGACAGACTTATCTCATCATGCATGGGGCTTGTTTTTAGGAAGCTTTCACACAAGAGCTGGGATATAGATAAGTCATAGATAGAAAGGAAAAGTGACCCAGGGGACTGCCGCAGGGCACAGGGCTTAGCAAGCAGCTTTTGATTTTTTCAGCTCTAGCCAATTTCCATCCCAAAAGCAGGTCCCAGGAGACACACGGGAAGAATCACAGGCCAGAATGCTATTCAGGTCACAGTAGATTTACAAGCATATAACCCAAATGATGTTACTTTAAGATCTAATCAGTCGTACACCACCAAAGTTAAAGTAAAATCAACCTACAGGGAGTCATTCAGTCCCAAGGGTGAACTAAGTGGCTTTCCAGCCCCAGTGGTGCCTCAGATTCTCTCCTGGAAAAAAGTGAGGGCCCTTGCAAACCAGACACTGTACCAACCATTTACCAGACAAGCCAAGTGCTTTCAATTCCTGCCAGCAATGTTACTTGATCAAAAGATTTTCCCAGCTGTTCTCTTAAGTGAACTATCTCTTTCCCTGCTTCCTGGCAGACAGGTGTCAGCAGCATAACAAAACTCACAACCATCTTCACTGGTAGGTTTAGCCAAAGGAGAAAGGACAGAGTGGGCCATTGTGAATGAGTGCCTCCCTCCTCCTGAGGGCTGGGGACGTGGCGAATCACACAGTCCCCGTGTCTGCCCTCTCTTACTTTTTAGTGCTTGTTTTTAGGATGGGGATCAGGATTGTTATTCAACCAGCCAATCCACTCCATGTGCTACTGCCCTTTTTTTGTATGTTCACGAGAAGAACTGACCATGAAATACTGCGACTCAAAAAACACACAGCCTGGTGGGGGTTTTTCTCTCGCTGCCCAGGGCACATGTGTACTTTTAAAGACACTGCAGTGAAGCATGTCACACCTGCTCCATGCTGCTGGGTTCTTGGTTGCAGCTGTGTTGGTCTAAGGACATAGGCAGGCAAGGTTCTTTGGGTGGATGTAATCCCTTTTATTAGAGCAACTGAGTAGCTGGAAAAAAGCTTTTTGCAAGCTTCTAGGCACAATCACCCTTCTTCAGGCATAGGAAGAATGCATACACCTGCTCCATGTAATAGAGGTGCCTCCATGCAACATTGAGTGTGTGCCATTAAGCCAGGGGAGAAGCCTGCCTAACCTGCACATCACAGAGCAACCCTGTCGCAAAAGGACTCTGAGGTACCCAGAGGAATAGACACCCACCCTCTACCTCCCCTGTCCAAAATGAAGTTTCTTTTCTACCTAGGAAAACTTTTGCAATCTTTGAGTTCTCCTCAGCCTGAAGAAGGGTGTTTGTACCCGAAAGCTTGCAAAGAAAGAATACTTTTTGCTGCTGTTTAGTTGGTCTAATACAAGATATCAACCTCTGACCCAAGAGCTTTGTTTATCTGTCATTAAGCCAGTGATTTTCAACCAGGGTGCCTTGAGATGCTTTCAAGGGTACCACCAGGTGGATGTTAGCACTATTAGTTATGCAAACAAGATAAACCCAGAAGGTAAAAACAGTGGTTGGATTTTTATCTAAGCCTTGTATCAAGCCCATTGTCCCACTTTAACTACCTGTGAAATATCCAAGATAACCCTTTTTCTCAGGATGAACACAGCTAATTTGAACAAATTGCTAGTTTGGCTGCATTTTGATGCTGGCCAAAACCCAAAACAATCAGACTTGGGATAAACCAGAGGCCCATTTTTTCCCAGAGATTTCAAATAAGAATTCCTAGGGTTTAAACCATTCTGACCTGTTAAGGGCTTTCCCAGTTCTTTGCAACAGAAGAATTGCTTTATTATTTTTTGGTAGCCAAGAAATGAGTGAAAGTGAAGAGCTGGCATTTCCCTACAGATACCTGGATCGCCTCTAGCACAAGAGTTTTTTCTGGAGTCTAACAAGGCAGTCCTTCAGTCTAAATGGTTGAGAACAACTGCATTAAGCACCCATGAAACACCTGGCTTATCATGACACACATGGCACAGCGTAGCATGCACAGATTGGATGCACCATGTTTCACGATAGCACCCCCGAGCCTGGTCTTTTGACAGCATAGACATGCCCCTTTTGTACAGCTATCCAACCGCATTGCTTTAAATGCAGTTATTCCTCATTAACACCACCAGAAGGTGAAGTTCAGCCCTGCACAGAGATCCATTGCAAAGCCCCAGTACCACTCAAATCCCACATAAACCCTATTTTGAAGTGACAAGCAGGTCTTGACTATTACACAGGTTTTGTGCTTGCTCTCGCTGCCTATGAAATAAATTCCACCCCGAGGAGGATTAATGAAGAATGCTTCCTCTGGCAGAAATGAAAGGTGTGGCCACACACAAACTCAAATCACAGCCACTGCAGCTGCCTTACAGATAACCCACTGCTGAAATAAAGACATGAGTCAGCCCTCACAGGTGCAAACCTGGAATGATTCCTACTCAAGCCGGTGGTGCTAGACCAGCCTAAGCAACATCAGGGCCAGCCCACCCCAAGCCTGCAAAAATTTCTTCATATCAGCTATGCAAGCAATACCCTTCATGGGCAACTCTGAAATCATCGAGCAATCCTAGGAATGTTTATTCTAACCACATATTCAACCCCAAAGCATATTCATTTAGCTTCTATTGATTCTGTCCCACAGAGGACAAATAATCACTTACTGAAATACATTTTAGTTACCTTTCCACCAGTAATTCTGCTTTTCTGGGCCTAGTTCAGACGAATGTCGTAGCCACAAAGCACTAAAGATTTTAGGAGTCCCAGGAATCACGGAAGATCACTTTTATACCAGACCCAGCTGCCAGGTGAGGTAGGTCTATTTTTAGCAGCCAGTCATGCAGCAGAGCAGTCAATAGCACCCCCAGCCGCTATCTCAGCTAGCTCCTCCTCTGTGCAGGCACGTCGTGGGTGGAAAAAGCCATATCTGGCCTGCAAACGTTCGTGAGTTTCAACATGAGAAAGCTTCCTTGTTTTTAACAGCCGCAGGAAAACGGAAAGTCTCATAAACAGCAATCGAGAGTAGTTGCTGGACTTTGAAACCCAGATAATCAAACAGCATGTGCCCTTTGTTCGTTCAGGTTTCTTTGCCTACATATGCGCCTTGATAGGTTATTTCCATGAGGAAAAGTTTCAGGGTGACAATCTTTTCAAAAGGGAAAGGCAGGACACTGGCCTGACTTCCCCTGCTCCCACCCCTCTCCACATCCCCCCCGCATGCCCTTCACCCCCTGGACAAGCTGTCCATGGCTCCATGCCGCTACATGCCCTGGCCCCATGCACCACCTTGGCTAGGCAGCACCCCCATCCCCTGCCCCACTCCTGCCCTCACCATGGGGACCTTGATCTGTCCACAAACCCACACCCACATACCCCCTCCCTACCATAGACTTACCTGCAGGAAGCTACTCTCCAGGCCACCTGGCTGTGATCCTGACCACATGCATGTGTGCAAGCATGTGGCACCCTCTGAGTCCTGCTCCCAGCACCCCTTGCAGGCTGGAATGCTGCCAGTCTGCAAGGGGGAACCTGCCCATTTCCTGTAGATCACTGCAAATGCTGCAAATCTGGGACAAATGCTGTCCCGGAGTCATGCAGCCCAAGACTGGGACTCGAGGTTTCCATTCCAGGACTGTCCCACCCAAGTAGGGTGGACATCCTAGATACAACCTACAACTTTTCTATCTAGGATGACACAGAGCCCTGTTGGACTTTCTGGGAAGGAAGCTCCCTCCTCAGAAATCCAAGCCTGCCTTTCCAAGAAGCACTGGGACTTTCAGCTGCTCTGTCTCCAAGTTTCTTCCCAGGGCCAGGTTAACCCCCAACCTCTTCCTCTCACCTGTCTTTCGGCTTTTTCCTCATTCATGCTGCTGCAAACAAAAAACCCCTAGGCCCTGTGTGGTTTAAACAGTCCCAATTAAAGCCCAGTAAGGCTTGCGTCTAGTGTACGCGCCCCTGCCTCCAATGACCAACTCCAGTGCCATACAAACACTACCCACGTCTTCTGGCAGCTGCATTCATTAGCAGTGCCACCAGAGTATGACGTGCACCCTAGGGAGGCACCAGTTGCTAAAGGGATCGTGGCAGCCAGCATAAAGTGCAGAGGTAGCACCAGTAGACATCTTGCTCCACTCAGCAGAGATGGAGTATCTCCCAGCAGAGTGGTAGTTTTTGCAGACTCATAGGAGTTTTGAGTATGCAGGACCTCAAACCTTTGCTAGCAGAACTAGAGGGAAGCAGGCCTCAGCTTTGGTTCACCCTCCTAAGCAGCTCATGGTCTGGTTCGGGGGCGAGCAAAATACAGCCTGCGAGACAACTCCAGCCCACCAAGCCATTTTATCCAGCTACTGGCACACCTAAAAAATTTCACAAATATATATTTGTCTGCTCCTGACTCCTGTTGAAGGTTAAACAGGAGCCCCTGGTGCTGATCCTCAAAGAAAGAAATAGCAAAAACCTAGAAGCAATGAGAAAGCACTTACGTTCTCAGAGAGCTAGAGGCACCAATGCTGTCATCCCATGGACCCATCCTGAATTAGGGAGGGGAGGATGGGGAGAGGGGAGGACAAGGGTGAATAGAGAGGGGAGCAGTTGCAGCCTTCACCGCCTGAGGGCGAAGCAGCAAGGCAATATCCAGGCAAGGCTGAACCTGTGGGAGAAGGGGCAGAGTCAGGGCATGCTCAGGGTTGGTTCTAGGCCAGGCGAGAAGAAACTAGTGCGAGTGGGGCAGGGTTAATCTTGGCCCTCCACTCACCCCCAGGGAACAGCCACGGGGTAAAGGAGAGAGTCTCCCCAGCAGCAACCAGGACATGGCTCTCACACGTGCCTGAGTGGGGCTTTCTGTCCCCAGCCGGCCTCACACCTGGGCCAGAAGCTCGGCACCCCAAGCCCCAAAGTGAACCCCTGGCAGCAGGATCCTTAGGCCCAGAGCTGGAAAATGGGGTCCACCCCAGGAGATAGCCGGTCCATACAGGACACTGGGGCCCTAGAAGAGAGGCAGGACAGGTTATCCTGACCAGCCTGGAGGCAGGAGGCACCCGATCATCATGTGGAATGGGGGGACAGTCCTTCAGACCTGGGACCCATCAAGGTTCAGGGGGGCACTCACCTCCGTGCTGCTTTCCCCCTTCTCCTCCTCCCCTCTGCCGCAGTGTCAGCACTGGGGGCGGAAGGCAGAGACATCAGTCACCTTGAGCACACCCCAAACCCCCAGGCCTTGCCCCTTCCAATAGCCCATGCCCAGGCCTCCCCTCTCTCCATCCCTGCCTCTGTACCAAGGACTGGCCCTGGGCGCCCTCCCACACACATCTCTCTTACTCCCTCTGTGCTGACTGCGCCTAGGTCTGGCTCCTGGCTGCAGTCTTGATATACACAACAGGGACGTCTCCCAGCACAGAGCCCCCAGGCCTGCAGCACCCCTGCCCAGCCCTGCCCCACCTACACACCCAGGGCGCTGGAGGGAGTTGCGGGCAAGACACTTCCTGAAGACACACTACTCATTTCCCCTTCACTCAACTCTTCCCTCCCAAGGCCTCCAGAGCTGTGAAGGAACCGAGGGGTGCTGGCCCTCGACCCATCCTTCTCCCAACCTGCAAGACCCTTCCCAGGACCAGGAACAGGGTCCTGGCTCTAGCCCTCCCTCAGCTCCCCTCACTGACCCCATGCTCACAACCTAACACTAGGAAAAGCATTGTGCTTCCCAGGTGTAGAGCCACTTATGCTTCTGGACTCACTCATGGATTTGAACTAGATTCGTCTTGGAACACGAAACATTTCCTTAAATACCTAAATGAAACTCAATGAAATGAACTAGGGAAAGCAGCATACCTTTCCTCTGGTCCTGTCTTTTTCAGACCATGATCTGTCTTGCTCCTGGACTCCATCTCCTGAAGGGGGTTCATCTGGCACCCAATGTTAGCCAGGCAGAGGGCCCTTGTCTGAGTGGAGATGTCTAGGTGCTCAGGGCCCTCTGCCTGGGTGCTTGCCTCCTTGGAGGGGGATTTGATCCTGGGTCCCCTCCTCAATCCCCTTGGAGGGGGATTTGATCCTGATTGCGAAACAAGCAACTGGTCAGACATGGATCATGCACCGAATTCAAGTCCAACAGCCCCTATGAAGGAAGTACTCCCCTACCTGAAAACACCACTGCTCCCAGTGCCTCCAGCCTACCCTGCAGCTGGGACACTGTGCATAACACCCCGAGTCCCCCACAGGCCCCTGTGGGACCACCTTCTCATCCCCTCCCTGTCCCCATCTTATCTCCACAGGGCTGGCAAGCTCTCCCAGGCCATCCCCACCTGTTGCACAAGCCCACCTCCTACCCCTCCCCACAGCCTCCTGAGACTTCATACAGCCTGGGGGCAATCCCCTCCCAAGCTGTGGCCCCCATGCTGCCTGAGCACAGGACCCCGGAGGCCTAAGAGGTGAGGGACTGACATCCTGTGGAATAGGCATCATGGGTCATCCTGACCTACCTGCAGGCAGAAGGGGCCCGGATCATCACCCAGTTAGTTCCCATCCACCTCATATCCTGGGGCCACAACCTAACAATACAAAAAGCACCATACCTCTCCCTGTGTCCAGCTGCTCTCTGACACCGGCGAGCCTTGGTCTTTGTGCCGGTGTCTATCTTAGCCAGGGGGTCAATCTGACAGCCCACCTCC